TGCCACCACACTCAGCAAATGTTTGTATTTCTAGTAGACACAGGGTTTCACTCTGTGGCCAGGCTGATCTTGAACTCCTGACCTCAAGCGATCAGCCTGCCTCAACCTCCCAAACCGCTGGTATTACAGGTGTGAGCCCCTGCTTCTGGCCCAAGAAACCTTTTTAATGGAGGGCAAACACCCTCAAGAAGATGAAATAAAAAGTTATTCTGGATTTGATAAATACATATTAAGCATTTAATAAGTATAAGGTGCTATGTTAGGAAGGTAAAGTCTATGGGAGATACAAAGATAAATAAGAGAGTCCCGTGGCCTCACTGGGACGCTGGAAACTGACAATAATGCCTTTTGTTCATTGACTAAGCTCCTACTATGTGTTGCTTAAAGCACTTTACATCTCTTATCTCAAATTCTCAAGAATGCATTGCTGACTTGATATTCCATGAGGAAACTGAGGCCAAGAAAAGTTAAGAAATTGCCACTGGGCTGCAATTCCAACCTGAATCTGCATAGAGAATGCCGAATATTGACTATGAACAGCACTTCATACACAGTTCTGTTAAGATTAATTAGACCAGTTTACCTGACAATGACAATAATAGATAGCAACCTTATTGGATAATTACCATGTGCCAAGCCCAGCACTTGGTAATTTACATGACATGTCTACATTTTCCGCATTCTCTCTGATGCAACATCTACAAATGCTCCCATTTGAAAAAAAAAAAAAAATCCGGGTGCAGTGGCTCATGCTGCAATCCCAGCACCATTTTGGGAGGCTGAGGCAGGAGGATTGCTTGACCCCAGGAGTTCACCATTAGCTTGGGCAATAAAGTGAGACTTCATCTCTCGGAAAGAAATCCAAAAATTAGCCAGGTGTGATGGCACACGACTGTCGTCCCAGCTACACGGGAGGCTGAAGCAGGAAGATCACTTGTGCCTGGGCTCAAGGCTGTAGTGAGCCATGTTCACCCTCTCAGAAACAAACAAACAAGAACACAAAACAAACTGAGATTTCATCCAAGACTCCTGCCTCACCCACATCCACTCAGTTTCTAAACCCTGTAAATTCCACCACTTTAATAGGTCTTTGATTCATCTTTTCCTCTTCATTCTCACAGTCACGACCTTAGTGGGAACCACCGTCATCTCACAGATGGATTCCAGTAAAAGCTTCTCAGCAGTCTCTCTGGCTTTCCAATTCACCTTAGGAAGCCTATATAGTGCTCTTTCTAAAACGTGGACAAGAACATGTCTCTCCCTGAGTCTTCTTCTAACCTTAAAAAACAAATCTGAACGTAGAGCCTGGATGGTACCCTGGGAACCCACTCTACTCTGGCCACTTTAGAAAGCCTGCCCTTTCCTGGACTTTACATCTTCTCCCTTGTCCCAAGGTCTCTGAGCCAGTTTCTGTTTTTTTGCTCTCAGCTTGCAAATCCAACTCACTCCCACTCTGCCTCCCTAACACTTTCCCTGTCCTGGCCAACTTCTATTTGGCCTTCAGCACCCTTCCTAACTAGAAGATTGTCCTGTGGTTCCTCCTTGTTGCTCAAGCAATACAGGTAAGATGCCAATTCTAGGTATACTCATAGCATCCCAAGTTTCACCTTAATAATGCTCTTCTTCTGATTTTTATTTTTTATGAGACAGGGTCTCACTCTCACACAGGCTGGAGTACCGTGGTATGATCATAGCTCACGGCAGCCTCAAACTCCTGGGCTCAAGCGATCCTCCCACCTCAGCCTCCTGAGTAGCTGGACTGCAAGTGAACGTGGCCACCTCCAACTATTTTTAAATTTTTTTAATAGAGAAAGGGGTCTCCCTATGTTGCCAAGGCTGGTTTCAAACTCCTGGCTTCAAGTGATCCTCCCACCTCGGCCCCCAAAGTACTGGGATAATGGGCATCAGCCACCACAACCAGCTGCTTTCTTCTGTTTTATGCCTTTGCATCACACTTTGAGCTTGTTGGGGTGAGTCACATCTTCTTTGCCACTCAGTCCCCAGCTCCCTGCAGTGCCTGCTACATAGTATGTATTTAATGAACATCTAGATGCTTGCTCTAGTCCACCTTTATCCACAAAGGATTTGAGGAGACTTCAACAAAGGAAATATATAATAAAGAAAACAAAAATTAATGCAGAAGCAAAGAAATTATAAATAGAAGTGGAATTAGCACCAGAAAAGAACAACATAAATGTGGAGTCAATAGAGATTAAAAGTTGCTTTAAAAAAAAAGAAAAGAAAAAGGCTAAACATTTTCCTAGAATCTTTTTTTGTTTTGAGATGAAGTTTCTCTCTGCCACCCAGGCTGGAGTGCATTGGCTTGATCTCAGCTCACTGCAACCTCTACCTCTCAGGTTCAAGTGATTCTCTGCCTCAGCCTCCCAGGTAGCTGGATTACAGGCATCTGCCACCACACCTGGCTAATTTGTATATTTTTAGTAGAGACAGGGTGTCGCCATGCTGGTCAGGCTGATCTCAAACTCCTGACCTAAAGTGGTCTGCCCGCCTCAGCCTCCCAAAGTGCCGGGATTACAGGTGTGAGCCACCAGTCCTGGCCATTTTCCTGGAATCTTTATTTTAACATATTTCTGAAAATGGATAATTCTGAGATCACAGCACAGCCCTTTTATGGAATATCACATTATTTTCCCAAATTAGAAGAGCTTAAAATTATTAAAAAGCATGGAAAATGTTTTTCCAAAGTTTTTGGGCTCTGAATTTTGAAGTTGTGTTTGTTTTTTCAACTTGCCTGTATCTTCACACTCCAAGTTCTCAGAAGGCAGAAACTATCCTATTTTATTTTACTTTATTATTATCATTTTTTGAGATGGAGTTTTGCTCATGTCGCCCAGGCTGGAGCACAACTGGTCACTGCAACCTCCGCCTTCCGGGTTCAAGCAATTCTCCTGCCTCAGCTTCCCGAGTAGCCGGGATTACAGGTGCCTGTCATCACACCTGGCTAATTTTTGTACTTTTAGTAGAGACAAGGTTTCACCATGTTGGCCAGGCTGGTCTTGAACTCCTGACCTCCAGTAATCCACCCTCCTTGACCTGCCAAAGTGCTGGAATTACAGGTGTGAGTCACTACGCCTGGCCACAAATGTACTACTTTAGATTATTCTTCTGTACCCAACTACATAAAAATATGTAGCCTTTTTTTAAAAAAAAAAAAAAAAAAAAACTTTCCCTTCCTATCTGCAGAAGTGCCCACTTATCCACAGGGAATCTACTCCAGGGCCCCCACTGGATGCCTGAAACCACAAACAGTAACTAACCCTGTAGTGATTATGTTTTATCCCCATATATACAAACTTATGAAAAAGTTTAATTTATAAATTAGGCACGGTAAAAGATTAACAATGATAACTAATAATAAAATAGAAGAATTATAACAGTATGCTGTAATAAAACTTATGTGAATGTGGTTTCTCCCTCTCTCTCTCTGTCTTAAAATACCTTCATATTTTCAGACTGTGGCTGACTACAGGTAACTGAAACCACAGAAAGCAAAACCATGGACAAGGGGAGAGTAGTGTAAGAGCCAGAAACTTGAGCATACAAAAAACAACCGCAAGTGACTTCATCACCACAGACATTTTCTATCTGCATTGGTGGAAGTCAACTGAAAATCAGAAAACTAAAAATACTTAGTAAAATTACTGCAGGTAATTCATGGCTATAGCTCTTCCTTTATAAGAAGTAAAACGATAGTGGCTCTTCGGCAAATGTTGTAAATTTATAGGCCATCCACAGGAATTTCTTTCTAAGGCTGTTTAATTTTGAAATAAACTTTGAATCACAGAAAGGCTGTGTGATTCAGTTGCACAAATAACTATACACTATATCTAAAAGGTATTTCCCACACAAATTTCCTGAGGTCCTTTGAAGATCACACACTAGACTCTCTGAGAAAAGTCTTGATTTTGGCTACTAGGTTTTGCTAATCCAGAGTTTAAAAGAATCAGGCCAGGTGGAGCGGCTCACGCCTGTAATCCCAGCACTTTGGGTGGCTGAGACAGGTGGATCACTTGAGGTCAGGAATTCAAGACCAGCCTGGCCAACATGGCAAGACGCCACCTCTACTAAAAATACAAAACTTAGCTGGGTGTGGTGGCATGCACCTGTAATCCCAGCTACTTGGGAGGCTGAGTCACGAGAATCACTTGAACTGGATTGGCAGAGGTTGCAGTGAACTGAGATGGTGCCACTGCACTGCAACCTGGGTGATAGAGCAAGATTCTGTCTTAAACAAACAAACAAAGAATCAGTGCAGGTACCCGTTTTAGATGGTCTAACCTCGCCCGTTTGGTGTGAACAATGGTAGTTATAATAGAAAAAGTCCGGAGAGCCACTTGCAGGGGGCTCAGGGACTTTTCCATTCTGACTCTAGCCCTTGCCTTGCTCTGGTCTGCTGCCTGCCTGGACACCTGTCTGGGAAACTCAACACCAAAACTGATGAAAAGGAGAGCTGTACTTGCAACTAGATTTTGTTTGGATCACTAACTCCGTTCCCATACTTGGATCAGTAAGTGCAACTCCCAGCCATAACAGTGATATGGTTTGGCTCTGTGTCCCGACCCAAATCTCATCTCAAATTGTAATCCTCATCATCCTTACATGTTGAGGGGAGGACCATGTGGGAGGTGATTGGATCATAGGGACAGTTTTCCCCATGCTGTTCCCATGATAGTGAGTGAGTTCTCACAAGATCTTATGGTTTTATGAAGCAGTTTTACCTGTTCTCACTCGCCCTCTCTCTCTCCTGCCGCCATGTAAGACATACCTGATTCCCCTTCCACCATAATTGTACGTTTCCTGAGGCCTCCCCAGCTGGGCAGAACTATGAGTCAATTAAACCTCTTTTCATTATAAATTACCCAGACTTGGGTAGTATCTTTATAGCAGTGTGAGAATGAACTAATACAAACAGTGATTGCACAGAGGCAGATAAATGTCTGCTCAACCAATGAGCAAATATTTAGTTCTGTTCTACTCACCCTTCACCACACTGATGGAAAGTAATTTCAGCCACAGGCAAACCTATGTTTTCATTGGTATTAGGTCCTCTTTATAGGCTTCTGACCAACGATCTTTACAGTTCCTGAAATATTAAGAAAAGCTGCTATGATTGACAGATCGGAGGGGGCAACTTGGATCTTAAGTTCTCAGGGCATAAGAAGGCACTACAAGGAAGTCGGCTTTCCAGGCATGTGCTAATTTCGCCTGCATACATTTCAATTTATTGTAGCAAATGTTTGCTGAGGATCTACTAACTCCAACAGAAGATATGCAGGGAAACAAAGATGAAAAAGGAACAATCCTTCCCCTAAGACAGGAGCCCCCAACACAGTGCCTGGCACATACATGGTAAGCGTTCAATGAGATACTGATTGTTTTTATATATTAATACGATAGTTACGGTATAAAGCAGAGTATAGTAAATGTTAGGAGACAGGTACTGATATGGTTTGGCTGTGTCCCCACCCAAATCTTATCTTGAATTGTAGCTCCCGCAATTCCTCTGTGTCATGGAAGGGACTCAGTGGGAGGTAACTGAATCATGGGGGTGGGCCTTTCCCATGCTGTTCTTGTGATAATATATAAGTCTCACAAGATTTGATGGTTTTATAAAGAGGGGTTGCCCTGCATAAGCTCTCTCTTCCCTGCTGCCATGTAAGATGTGACTTGCTCCTTCCCTTCCACCGTGATTATGAGGCTTTCCCAGCCATGTGGAACTGTGAGTCAATTAAACCTCTTTTCTTTATAAGTTACCCAGTCTCAGGTATGTCTTTATCAGCAGCATGAAAATGGACTGATACAGGTACAAAGCAAGTGCCCTGTGAGATCAGTATGGACAACATTCACTGATACTGGAGGAATGAGAAGGCTTCCTGGAAGAGGTCGCATGTCACATAGACTTTCTGATGATAAGAGCCATGAGGAGCATGTTTCAGGACTTTAAAGCATCCTGTAAAGGCTCATTGTAGGTTGCACATTAGTTTACAGTGAAAAATACTGACACGCGGGCTTGGCCCAGAGGATGAGAACTATATTAGGGAGATCATTAAGTAGGCAGTTGGAGCATAGGTTGAAAGCTGGAGAAACCGGAGACCAGGAGACAAGTCAGGAAACGAAAGCAATTTTCCTTGTTCCTCAGGGATCTTAAAAGCAGGACTGTGTTTCAGGGCAAACACAAGCCTGGATAAATAGTCTCCCCCTATTCCCCACACCTCACCGCTCCAACTTACAAAAGTTTTGTAATAATCATAGTTCAAAAACAAAATAGTAAACCCTTGAAAGTTGAGTAAAACCAGCAGGACCTAAATATTTAACTGATCTCTCAAACATGTTATTTATTGACAGGAAAAAGGTTAAATCAGAATGGTTAGAACAATTAGAAAGTTCATAGGAACCGAATTCTGAACTCTCAAGCCCACGATGACCACTATTAATAAAGCATTGTATGGATATGTCTTCATAAAACTCTGACTATATTAAAGCCTCAGCTTTCTATATTGCTGGTTTCATTACCTTCAAGAGATTATGGAAGATCAGAAGTGTTATCTACCATAATAATGCTGTGTGTTTCTCTGAAGAGCTTAGACAATCTACACACTTTAATTAAATCTCCTAATGTTCTGGTAAAGTAGGCAAGGGATCAACAGAAGGTGAGTCATCAAAAACAGTGGAAGACCGGACCATAGGATGTACTTTGAGATGAAATCCACTTTTATTATTATAGTTCCCATTTCACCAATGAGGAAATGGGTTATTATTCAGATAAGGATGGTGAGCTATATTACACTTTCACTAAAGGCAGAATACACGGCTGTAGGTTCTGTAAGCATCACGTGGGAGACCTTTAAAAACAGTATAACAACCAGGTGCAGTGGTTCACGCCTGTAATCCCAGCACTTTGGAAGGCTGAGGCGGGCAGATTGCCCGAGGTCAGGAGTTCGAGACCAGCCTAGCCAATATGCGGAACCCTCCCTCTACTAAAAATACAAAAATTAGATGGGCTTGGTGGAAGGCACCTGTAATCTCAGCTACTTGGGAGGCTGAGGCAGGAGAATCTGTTATACCCGGGAGGTGGAGGTTGCAGTGAGCTGAGATCACGCCACTGTACTCCAGTTTGGGAGACAAGAGCGAGACTTCATCTCAAAAAAAAAAAAAAAAGTCCTTGGAAATACAATCATGGCTCCCAGTAGAACAGAGATCCCAGTTTGAAAAAAAGAAAAAAGTCATGAAAAAAGATAAATGTTGTTATTTTAGGTAATAATTTGGTATCACTCAAGTCTTAAAAAGTAATGGAAATGCATATAATGAAATCCTAGGGCAATATACAGTTATAAAATAGGTATATTGATTCAGAATATGCTTAAATGGTTTGATGATTATAAAAATGAAAAGACAAAATCAAAAATTTTGTTGAAAGTTTGTGGAACTCTAAGTTTGAGAAAAATTGCTTTAGAGGTAGCCTTTATTAATGGTCTAAGAAAGAACTCAAGGTAACAAATTTTGTGTGGTCCTAAGGGAGCGTAGCACCTGACACAGGAAGTGTTTTGGGGAGACCAGTATTTGATGGCATTTTACTACTTTATATTTGGTACTAAAAGTAAAGTAACAAACAGCTTATTTCAACTCCTGAAAGCTGATTTACTACAATGGGGTCAGGGACAAATCTGTAATGACTACATGTGTCATAGAGCAATAATCACTCTTTCCCAGGCTTTGAGACGGATGAGAAAATGCTCTGAATTCTAAGTTCTCTAGAGAAAAAAACCTCACAAAAACAGAAAAAATCTCTACCATCAAATAACAAATTTTAAGTAACTTATATGTATGTATATATGTATATATATATATATAATTAAATACAAAGAAAATTTAATTATATTTAATTTGCTTAAGTTTAATTTGCTTATATATTGTCCCCATAAAAATAAGCTGCATTAAAATATTTAGAAAGGTTTGTCTAGCACCATAGCTTAATTTAGCACCTCAATCATTGCTTTTACCTGCTTCCTAACAATTCACAGGAAAATCATATATTTAAAAATTATTTGACACAATGATTTATCTATACACTTATGTAGTTATACAAGCAAAAATCTCTTTTCATTGTAGTTTTAACTGTACTTAAACCATATTGCCGACATATCAAATGACTGTAATTTTCAGCCCGGTGGGGTAGCTCATGCCTGTAATTTCACCTGTCTGGAAGGCTGAAGCGGGCAGATCATCTGAGGTCAGGAGTTCAAGACCAGCCTGGCCAATATGGTAAAACCCCGTCTCTACCAAAAATACAAAAATACAGCCAGGCGTGATGGTGGGTGCCTGTAATCCAAGGCAGGAAAGGTTTGTCTAGCACCATAGCTTCATTTAACACCTCAATCATTACTATCACCTGCTCCCTAAGAATTCACAGAAATTGGGAGGCTGAGGCAGGAGAATCTCTTGAACTTGGGAGGTAGAGGTTGCAGTAGGTTGCCTGGGCAACAAAGTGAGACTCTATTTCCAAAAAAAAAAAAAACAAAACTGTAATTTTCATCTCTTTTTTGAATTAGATTTATATCTGCAAGTTTAATAATTTTAATAAATTTGTTGAATAAAAAAGTTTAAGTCAAATTACAAATCTACTGCCAAAACATGTCAAATTATTAAATGCCACCCATGTAAGGACTGGTTTTGAATTTAGATTAACGGTTTTAAAGTAGGTAAACTATATTGTTAAATATTAAAATGTGTAATTCTTAAAATGAAAATGTTTGCATTTCAATTAATGTCAAATACTACTTGATTTTAGAATTTTTGAGCTGGAATAAACCATGGAGATTGTTTAATTTGGTGACTTCATTTTTAGATGCTAAAATAGAATCTTTAATCTTTTGAAGGTCAGATAGCCTAAGCTAGATCCCAGTCTCTCAACTTGCCCAGTGTTTGTTTTACTAAGCTACATATTTACCATGATCATCAAAATTAGTTATTCTTGTCTCCATTCACATGGAAGTATTAACCCAAGGTAACATCATATCTTAGCCTAAAATCACACCTGTAATTCCCCAGGAACAGAAGACCTAATGCCGATTTCACTGTTCACTGAGCGGCATGAAGAAAGCCCTTTAACTGCAGTGTGCTTTCCTTTTCCTAATGATAAAAATAAGACTCTAGGATGGGCGTGGTGGCTCATACCTGTAATCCCAGCACTTTGGGAGGCTGAGGCATGTGGATCGTGAGGTCAGGAGTTCAAGGCCAGCCTGGCCAATACAGTGAAACCCCATCTCTACCAAAACAGTACAAAAATTAACCAGGTGTGGTGGTGTACACCTGTAGTCTCAGATACTTGGGAGGCTGAGGCAGAAGAATCGCTTGAACTCAGGAGGCAGAGGTTGCAGTGAGCCAAGTCTGCACCACTGCACTCCAGCCTGGGCAACAGAGCAAGACTCCTTCTCAAAAACAAAAAACAAACAAAAAAAAAAACTCTAGTAATTTAGACCTGTCTTCTTCATTTAGTCATTGCAAAAAGTGGTAATAAAAATAACTCTGAAGTATACAGCATATATAAGTGCAAACCAAATACTTAATATCAAAAACTCAACTACATTGAAACCAAGGAGCAGTAACTACTTTGAGTCATAATTAGGAGGGAATACATATAAGCTGCTGTGTGACCTCAGGAGATTTGAACTAGCAGATGCAGGGGTCTATCTAACAAGTTCTGTAGTTCCTAACTTTTCCTAGTTTTTTTTTTTTTTTAATAAGCTATGTTTATCTAAACCACATAATAATTATCAGTTTGAGAACAAATTAGAACCCTATGATTTCTCAAAGGCACCACTGATTCCTAAACAGAGAGAAATGTGGAGTACCTACAGTACGGCTAGTAGAATCTGAAGAATTTACTATTGATCCACCCTATAACTGATATATGCAGAGCATAAACCTTTCCAAATATGATTCTCTAATAGTAAAATATACTTTCCCAAGTGACATGTAAAATCGTCCAGCTTGAGCTGACCTTTAAAAAACAAACAAAACTTATCAACTGGAATCTCTTGGATAAGAAATAGATCTTGCAACTGGAAGGGGTGAGAAGAATCA